CAGTTCTGTTGCCTTAGAGCCTCTCAAATCGGCTGTCTGCACTCATTTATTTATTTATCCTCTATTTATCCAATGCCTTTCTGTACCCAAACCTCTCCTGGGTTCTAGAGAAAAAAAGATAAACCAATGCTTCTTGAACTACCTGTGGCAAAGGCCTGTTTTGTTATTTTTAATGTTGAATCAGTCATAGAAAAAAGTCCTTTTGAAAGATACAATGGAAAAAAATTACTAGGCAGACAAAATGAAAAATACAACACAAAAGCCTCAGTTTTTTTCTTTCTCTTTTTTAAAAGATTTATTTATTTATTTGAAAGTCAGAGTTACACACACAGAAGAGAAGGAAAGGCAGAGAGAGAGAGAGAGAGGGAGGGAGAGAGAGGCTTCCATCCACTGGTTCACTCCCCAGTTGGCCGAAACAGCCGGAGCTGCGCCCATCTGAAGCCAGGAGCCAGGAGCTTCTTCCTGCACGTGGGTGCAGGGGCCCAAGGACTTGGGCCATCTACTGCTTTCCCAGGCCACAGCAGAGAGCTGGATCAGAGGTGGAGATATTGGAGGCAGGAGCTCCCAGAGAGGCGTAACCCCCTGTGCACAGCGCTCACCCCTTGAGCTCTGTTTTAATCAGCAGTGGACCAGTCTCCTCTCAGACCTTTCCCTTCCCAGTGTCTTCCGGTCTGTTTCTGCATGTTTATTGTCCCACAGGAACTTTAGCAACTTGCTGACACTCTGAAAGGATCACAGTTAAACTGACGAGCCACCTTAGGGAGAGCTGATATTGTGTTAGATTGGATCAATCATCCTGTCCAAAGACAGGAACTGGTGGAATCCTTATATTTCTCTCTCTCAGACAGGCAGGACTTAAGTTGCAAGGAGTGGGGAGGAAGCTCCAGACAGAGAAACAGGTTCTGGAGGCACTAAGCAGCATGTGCATGAAGGAATTAACCTTTCCTATGACTTTTTTTTTTTTTTTTTTTTTTTAAGATTTACTTATTTGTTTGAAAGTCAGAGTTACAGACAGAAGGAGACACAAATCCACTGGTTCCCTCCCCAGATAACTACAATAGCCAGCACTGAGCCAGGCCAAAGCCAGAGCCAGGATCTGCTTCCAGGTCTTCCATGTGGGTAGCAAGGGCCCAAGCAATTGGACCATCTTCTTCTGCTTTGCCCAAGCCATTAGCAGGGAGCTGGATTGGAAGTGGAGTAGCTGGGACTTGAACTGGCGTCTATATGGGATGCTGAAGTTGTAGTTGGCAGCTTTACCCGCTACGCCACAATGCCAGCCCCTAGGGATTACCTTTCCTATGATTTCAAGAGCTGCTTTTCTCTGAGCCTCAGCATCAGTTTCTACAAGTATAAAATGAGCATGGGGAAGGTGTTTGGTGCTGTAATTAAGACTGTTGGGGGGCTGGCACTATGGCACAATGGGTTAAAGCCCCAGCCTGCAGTGCCGGCATCCCATTTGGATGCTGGTTCGAGTCCTGGCTGCTCCTCTTCCAATCCGGCTCTCTGCTATGGCCCAGGAAAGCAGTAGATGATGGCCCAAGTCCTTGGGCTCCTGCACCCACATGGGAGACCTGGAGAAAGCTCCTCCTGGCTTCAGATCAGCTCAGCTCTGACCGTTGTGGTCATTTGGAGAGTGAACCAGTGGAATAGAAAATCTCTCTCTTTGCCTCTCCTTCTCTCTTTGTGTAACTATGACTTTCAAATAAATAATATAATTATTATTTTTTAAAAAACAAACTTTGTATGTTTCTTATATACAGGTTTTTTTAAAAATTTATTTATTTGAAAGAGTTATAGAGAGTAGTAGAGACAGAGAGAGGGGCCTTCCATTTGCTGGTTCACTCTCCAGATGGCTGCAACAACCAAAGCCGAGCTGATACAAAGCCAGGAGCTTCTTCCGGGTCTCCCACATGGGTGTCTTTTACTGCTTTCCCAGGCCTTAGCAGAGAGCTGGATCAGAAGAGGAGCAGCCAGGACTGGAACCAGTGCTCCTATGGGATGCCAGCACTTCAGGCCAGGGCTTTAACCTGCTGTGCCACAGCACTGGCCCTAACATAATTCTTTAAAAAAAAAAAAAAAAAAAGACACTGCTGGGATCATCTGCATCTGAGATTCATGTACCAGTTCAAGTACCAGTTCTGCTTCCAACTCCACCTTTTAGCTAATGCACACTTTGGGAGGCAATAGGTTCAAATAATTGGCCCCTGCCACCCAAGTGGGAGATTGAATGGAGTTTCTGGCTCCCATCTTAGGTCTGGCCCAGCTCTGGCTGTTGTGGGCATTTGGGAAGTGAATCAGTGGGTGGAACATCTGTCTCTCTGTCCACTTTTCAAAAAAATTTTAAAAATTAAAAAACAAATATGATAATCCCTTATTTGAATGATGAAAGGAAAAACACCTAACAATACAGCCTGGAGCTTGGTGATGCTGCTGTCCTTTATTTGAAAGGCAGAGTTACAGAGAGAGAGAGATATTTCTTCCATCTACTGGTTCATTCTTCAAGTGCTTGCAATGGTCAAGGCTGGGCCACGCCAAAGCCAGGAGCCTCATCTGAGTCTCCCTCGTGGGCGGCACAGGCCCAAGCATTTGGGCCATCTTCCGATGCTTTCCCAGACACATTAGCAGGGAACTGGATTGAAAGTGGAGTGATCAGGACATGAACCGAAGCCCACATGGGATGCCTGCATCACTGGCAGTGGCTTAACCCCCTGCACCATAATGCCAGACCTGATGTTGCTGTTTTGTGTAAGGGAGACTCATAGGAATCAGAGATGTCATTGGTAGTGGGATGCAGTTGCTGGAGGGGATAGCTCATCCACTCAGGCCTGGAGCCCAGAGTGACTTGTGTTCTAGGAAAATGGCTGGTGGTGGGCGGCGTGACTGCCCTGAGCCAGGCGGAGGTCTGAGGTGTGTTTGTCACGGATAGACTGGGGGTTTTAGGTTGGGTCACGAAGTGGGACCCCAGGGTGAGCTCCTCTTCCCCACAAGCTGGGGCTGTTCCCGAAGTCCACATGAAAACAGGTTCATGATGAGCAAGCCACAGGTGGGGCTGCCTCTGTCCCATCCCGATGTGTTCCAGGGTGTTTAGCACAGAGAAAGTGGATTAATCATACATCACATAACTAATCTTCTCAGAGGCTGGCTGCTAACAAAGCAAGTGAGAATCAGGAAAGGCCCCGTCTCCTACTCCACAGTCTCAGAATCTGAGGTGGTGCCGATTCAGCCCCAGGCGCTTCCACTTCCACCTCTCAGCCAGAGGCCATGTTTAGAAAACTCTGCTGGGCCAGTGGCCGCCATTGAAGGCTGGCTTTCTCGTCCTCCTCCTGCCTGCCACCGGCTCCTCCCTCCTTTCTTCTCAACTCTCATTTTCCCACTTTCTTTTCACCAAAGCACGTATCTGCATTCAAAATTATTTTAATGATTTCCTTTGTTATTCATTTCTGTTTTAAAGAATGCAAACTCCCTGGGGGCAAAGACTTAGTTCTGGCTTGTTGACCATTGTAGTCCTAGTTCCATAAAGCAGCCACCATCACCCCCCAGTAGGTAAATCAATAGGGCCATGGAGCTCCAGTCCCATTTGTAGGACTGGGAACAAAGACTCACCCCTCGCAGAGCTCATGCTGGAGCCCTGGGACGGTGATAAGGGGGTACAGGCTCCCCTTCCCATCCACAGAAGCTCTCCCTACACCTGCCCTGGGGCTCTCTCCGCCTCCCTCCGCCATTTCTCCACGCCGAGGTCAAGAGGCCTGGCTGGAGCCTCAGATCTTGGTGTCTCCCGCCCCCGCTTGCGTTAGAGATACCCAGACCGAAGGGCGGGAGGGGGAGGTCTGACGGTCTCCATTACTTTAAAGAAGTGGTGAGGGTCTGAGGTCCCCTGACAAAGACCTTGGGCAGCCTACAGCGGAGTGGGTGGGGCGGCTGGAGGGTGGGGCTGTAGGTGCGGCCTTGGCCCCGCCCCGTCGTGTGGATAAGTAGAAGCGGAGCTCAACGATTGTGGATTGTGGCGTGTTGCCCAGCCCCACCCGGGTCTTCGAAGACGACGCCGACTCTGCTGGCCTCCCCCCTCCCCACCCCGGGTCTGAGGGGATCTGGGCCTAGGTTAAGATGGAGGTTCATCATCTGAACATGCGGCAGGCTGAGCACCCGATGGTCCTGGTGAGCCGGTGTCCCGGGCTGGGTGCAGCACTGGGGTTGGGGGGGCTGGGGATAGGGGTGGGGGGAGGCAGATCTGGCAGGGCGCGTGTCGGATTTAGAAACCCAAAAGAGCAGCTTAGAAAAGGGAAGGATGGGAGGAGATGGTGGCCGTAAGTGATTGTGGTTCATTCGGTGAACATTCATGGTGCCGTGGAGCCCGTGCTGGGTGCAGGGGTGGCTGAGAGGGCTCCAGTCCATTCCTAGGGAGGGAAAGCAGAAAGCGAGGAAGTCAATGGGAAATGAAGGAGGGACTATTGGGATTGTTATTGGAGCCCAAGCTAAGGGCAGGCCCTGCGGGAATGCACTGATGACTTTGTCGCAGGACCTGCTATGGTACTATTTATTTTATTACTGAATATGCAGCAAAATGATTGCAGCACACAGATTGCTGTGGAGATGGAAGAGGGCCAGGGCAGCAAATGGCAGAGCTGTTGGATCAGATGTAGGTTGGGGAGCAGCTGAGGATTTGGTCTGGGGCTAACACAGCCACCTGCAGTGGCAGCATCTCATATGGGCACTGGTTGAGTCCTGGCTGCTCCACTTTGGATCCAGCACTCTGTTATGGCCTGGGAAAACAGTGGAAGATGGCCCAAGTCCTTGGGCCCCTGTTCCCACGTGGGAGACCCGGAAGAAGCTCCTGGCTTCAGATCGGCCCAGCTCCAGCCATTGCAGCCATGTGGGGGAGTGAACCAGTAGATGGAAGACTCTCTGTTTCTGCCTCTCTGTAACTCTGTCTTTCAAATAAATAAAATAAGTCTCTTAAAAAGGACTTGGCAGGCAGAGTTACAGAGAGAAAGAGAGAGAGAGGTCTTCCATCTGCTGGTTCACTCCCAAGTGGCCGCAACAGTTGGAGCTGGGCCAATCTGAATCCAGGAGCCTAGTGAGCCACAGCGCAGGCCCAAATAAATACATCTTAAAAACAAACCACGGGCCGGGCTCTAATAGGCTAATCCTCTGCCTGCGGCGCTGGCACACCAGGTTCTACACCCGGTCAGGGCACCGGATTCTGTCCCGGTTCCTCCTCTTCCACTCCAGCTCTCTGCTGTGGCCCGGGAAGGCAGTGGAGGATGGCCCAAGTGTTTGGGCCCTGCACCCACAAGGGAGACCAGGAGAAGCACCTGGCTCCTGCCTTCGGATCAGCGCGGTGTGCTGGCCGCAGCAGCCACTTGGGGGGTGAACCAACGGAAAAAAGGAAGACCTTTCTCTCTGTCTCTCTCTTTCATTGTCCACTCTGCCTGTCAAAAAAAAAAAAAAAAGATGTATTTATTTGAAGGGCTGGGGGTTAAGCTGCTATTTGTGATGTCAGCATCCTATTTCATAGTACAAGTTCAAATCCTGGCTGCTCTGCTTCTAGTGCTGCTTCCCGCTAATGCTCCTGGGAAGGTAGTAGACTCAATCAGTGAGTGGAAGATCTCTCATAATATTTATTTGAGAGGCAGACTGCCAGAGAGTAAGAAAGAGAGTGAGCGAGCACCTGTGTGAGAGAGGTATATCCATTTGTTCACATCCAAATGGCTGTAACAACCAGCTCTGGGCCAGTTTGAAGCCAGGAGCCTGGAACTCCATCCAGGTCTCCATATAGGTGGCAGGGGCCCAAGTACTTGGATCACCTCCAGGCACTTTCCAGGCACATTAGCAGGAAGCTTGATCAGAAGCAGAGCAGCCAGGACCCTAACCGGCACTCCCTTGTGGGAGGATGGCATCCCGGGAGGTGGCTTAACCTGCCCCACCACAGTGGGGATCCTAGTTTTGTTTGTTTGTTTGTTTTTAAGGTTTTGTATATATTTGAAAGGGAAAGTTACGGGGTTGGTGTGTGGTGGGGGGAACCTTCCATTTGCTGATTCACTCTCCAAATGCCTGCAATGGCCAGGGCTGGGCCAGACTGAAGCCTGGAATTCCATCCGTTGCTTTTCCAGGTGCATTAGCAGGGGGCTGAATCAGAAGTGCAGTAGCCATGACTCCAAACAGCACTCATGGGTATTTATTTCTAAGTTATCAATGGTATATTTATCGCTTAAGTTTTAATAGTTGTTCTATATATAGGACAATGAAATACAAGATATAAAACTAAATTGTTGATTTGACACCTTTTTATTGTAAGCATTTACAGTTATAAATTTCCCCTTTATCATTGCTTTTGCTATACCCAATAAGTTTTTGATAATGTTATGTTTTCATTTTCATATGTCTCTAAATATTTTCTAGGTTTCCTTGTAATTTGTTAAGAGTAATTTCCATAAATTACAAATCTTCCAATTTTCCTTCTGTTACTGGTTTCTAACTGAATCTGATTGTAGTCAGATAAGATACTTTATCATATCTAATTTTTAGGGATTCATTTGAGCAGCTGAGTTACAGATAGAGGGAAAGACAGAAAATGGTCTTCCACTCACTAATTTACTCCCCAAATGGCCACAACAGCCAGAACTGAGCCAATCTGAAACCAAGAGCCAGGAGCTTCATCTGGGTCTCATGTGAGTGGCAGGGGCCCGAACACACTTGGGCCATCTTCCATTGCCTTCCCAGCCATTAGCAGAGAGCTGGATCAGGAGAGGAGCACTTGGGACATGAATTAGCGCCCATATGGGATGCCGGCACCACAGGCAGAAAGAAGCTTAACTATGCCACAGTGCTGTTCTCTATCATAACTTATTTTTAAAAAAATCTGCTGTGGTCTATCTATATTGGAGTGTGTCCCATATGCACTTGAAAGAAATGGTTATTCTTTTTAAAAAAAATTTGTTGGGGCCTGCGCTGTGGCAGGTAAAGCTGCCGCCTGCAGTGCCGGCATCCCATACCCACACCGGTTTGAGTCCTGGCTGCTCCACTTTGGATCCAGCTCTCTGCTTTGGTGTGGGAAAGCAGCAGAAGATGGCCCAAGTCCTTTATTTATTTATTTGAAAGTCAGAGTTACACAGAGAAATAAGGAGAGGCAGAGAGAGTCTTCCACCTGCTGGTTCACTCCCCAGTTGGCTGCAACGGCTGGAGCTGCGCTGATCTGAAACCAGGAGCCACGTGCTTCTTCTGGGTCTCCCACATGGGTGCAGGGGCCCAAGGACTTGGGCCATCTTCTACTGCTTTCCCAGGCCATAGCAGAGACCTGGATCAGAAGTAGAGCAGCTGGGACTCCAACCAGCACCCATATGGGATGCTGGCACCTCAGGTGGCAGCTTTACCCGCTACGCCACAGCACCGGCCCCAATAAATCTTAAAAAACAAAAGACAAAACAAAACAAAACACAAAAAGGCTTGCATTTCATATCAGAGTGCCTGAGTTCAAGTGCCACCTGTGGTTCTGAAAGAAAAATTATTTATTGGAAAGGAAGAGGGGATGGTGTTGTGACACAACTTAGTAAGGTGCTGCCTGGGACATTAGCATCCTGTATGAGTGCAGGTTCAAGTCCCAGCTGCTCCACTTCTAATATAGCTTCCTGCTCCTGCACCTGGGAAAGCAGCAGAAGATGGCCCAAGTGTTTGGGTCCCTGCTACTCACATAGGAGAGACCCATGATGGAATTCTGCATTCCTGGCTTCAGCTTGGCTCAGCCCCTGCTGTTTCAGACATTTGGGGAATGAACCAGTGGATGGAAGATGGGTATCTCTCTCCTCTCCCCCTTACTCTGCCTTTCAAATAAATAAATATCTTTAAAAAAAAAAAAGAAAGAAAGAAAAGGGAAAGATTTTCCATTCGCTGGTTCACTCCCTGAATAACCAAAATGGCCAGGGTTGGTCCGGGCCCATGACAGGAGCCTGGATCTCTAGTAAAGTCTCCCATGTAGGGCCGAAGCACTTGGGCCATCTTCCTCTGCTTTCCCAGGTGCGTTAGCAGGGAGCTGGGTCAGAAGTGGAGCAGCCGGGACTGGAACCAGTACTCTGCTATGATATGCTGGCATTGCAAGCAGCAGCATCACCTGCTGCACCACAACACCAGCTCCCAGGAATGTGAGCAGAGTGTTTGTATATGTCCCATATAGAACATTCCAAAACTAGAACACCCAAAGCTGGGTCTGCTCACCCAGGGTAAACAAGCCAGTTACTGCCCCTGGAGTGATAGAAGAAAGTAAGCATTTACATGCAAAGTGCAAAACATTCCTCCCGGCGAAGGTTGCTTAAACAGCAACTGTTGCTTAATCCCATGGGGAATTTCTGGCCCTGGGGCAGCACAGGGCCTGCTAAATCCTTTGGTCTGGTCCTGTCAAAGCAACTGCAGGTGGGACTCAATTCAATACATCTGTACCAGAATAATTTTTAAGTTGATTTTTTTATTTGAAAGATTTATTTATTTATTTGAAAGTCAGAGCTACAGAGAGAGAGACAGAGATCGATCTTCCATCCATGAATTCACTCCCCAAATGACGGCAATGGCCAGGGCCGGCTGGGCCAGACTTAAAGCCAGGAGCCTGGAATTCCACTCAGGTCTCCCATGTGGGTGGCAGGGACCATCTTCTACTGCTTTCTCAGGCACATTAGCAGGGAGGTGGATCAGAAGTGGAGCAGCTGATATTCATATGAGCAATCATATGGGATGCCAGTGTTGCAGGCAGTGGCTTAACCCATGGTGCCACAACACCAGCCCTAAATTGATAATTTTGTATGCCCGCAGGTGATGTTATAAATATCCAAATGTCCCTTAGCAGGAAAAGTTTCCCCAGCCCTGTTCCCTGAGCTCCTCGAGCATAGGGGTAATGATTCTTAGGGATTAAAGTCGGGGCTCAGGGGTGTGTGTTCAGCTTGTATCCCAGCTCCTGGTTGATCTGCAATGCCCATGGCCCTCCTTGGATTGGTCATTAATATCATGTCCTTTAAGGAAATTTGGTGTTGGCAAAGTGGGCTGTGCCTGTGGTTCCTGCCTGGGGCCTGTGGTTCCTGGAAAATAAACCCCTCAAGGCGAGACTCCAAGACAAGAGGGGAAAGAAATGGTCTCATGCACCTGGTGATTAGGGACCTTGTAGGGTCTCCCTCCGTCTGCTAGGTTAATGTCTGTAAGAGGTTGATCTGCATTTATAAAAGGAAGCTTCCAGCCTGGAGAGCGTGGCTGGGAGGCCAGCTGCAGCCCAGGCCAGGCCGAGGCGCTTGGTTCTGTGTCTGCCAGATCCCGTTGGTTTTTTGTATTGCTCAAGTCTTCTGCTTCCTCACTCTGCTAGTTTGCCCATTCTAGACAGTGAAGTCTCTTTTTTAAAAAACAAAATTTATTGGAAAAGCAGAGTGACAGAGAACACTTGGGCCATCTTCTCTGGCCTTCCCCAGGACCATTAGCAGGGAGCTGGATTGGAAGCAGAGCATCTGGGACTCAAACTGGTGCCCCAATGTGAGATGCCGGTGCCATGAGCAACGAGGTTTTTTTTTTTTTTTTTTTAAATTTTTTATTTTTTGACAGGCAGAGTGGACAGTGAGAGAGACAGAGAGAAAGGTCTTCCTTTTTGCCGTTGGTTCACCCTCCAGTGGCCGCCAGCTGCTGGCGCACCGCGCTGATCCGATGGCAGGAGCCAGGTACTTATCCTGGTCTCCCATGGGGTGCAGGGCCCAAGTACTTGGGCCATCCTCCACTGCACTCCTGGGCCACAGCAGAGAGCTGGCCTGGAAGAGGGGCAACCGGGACAGAATCCGGTGCCCTGACCTGGACTAGAACCCGGTGTGCCGGTGCCGCAAGGCGGAGGATTAGCCAAGTGAGCCATGGCGCCCAAGTGCTTGGACGCCTGCACCCGCATGGGAGACCAGTAGAAGCACCTGGTTCCTGGGTTCGGATTGGTGCAGCGTGCCGGCTGTAATGGCCATTGTGGGGTGAACCAACGGAAGGAAGACCTTTCTCTCTGTCTCTCTGTCTCTCTCACTGTCTAACTCTGCCTGTCAAAAAAAAAAAAAAAAAAAAAAAAGCCGGTGCCGTGGCTCACTAGGCTAATCCTCCGTCTTGCGGCACCGGCACACCGGGTTCTAGTCCTGGTCGGGGCACCGGATTCTGTCCCGGTTGCCCCTCTTCCAGGCCAGCTCTCTGCTGTGGCCAGGGAGTGCAGTGGAGGATGGCCCAAGTGCTTGGGCCCTGCACCCTATGGGAGACCAGGATAAGCACCTGGCTCCTGCCATCCGATCAGCGCGGTGCGCCGGCCGCAGTGCGCCGGCTGCGGCGGCCATTGGAGGGTGAACCAACGGCAAAGGAAGACCTTTCTCTCTGTCTCTCTCTCTCTCACTGTCCACTCTGCCTGTCAAAAAAAAAAAAAAAAACCATTTACAAAAACACTCCTGTTTATAATTGTCCATTTATTTATCATTTTAAAAAAGATTTATTTATTTATTTGAGAGTCAGAGTTACATAGAGAGAGGAGAGGCAGAGAGAGAGAGAGGTCTCCCATCTGCTGGTTCACTTCCCAGTTGGCTGCAACGGCCGGAGCTGCACCGATCTGAAGCCGGGAGCCAGGAGCTTCCTCCAGGTCTCCCACGTGGGTGCAGATGCCCAAGCACTTGGGCCATCTTCTACTGCTTTCCCAGGCCATACCAGAGAGCTTGATGGGAAGTGGAGCTGCCGGGTCTCGAACTGGCGGCAATATGGGATGTCAGCGCTTCAGGCCTGGGTGTTAACCCAGCAACGGCCCCTCTTATCATGTTTTTATTTTCTTAAGACAGATCTCTTCATATGGCTTCAAGCTACTGTTTAGTATTTTCATTTTAACCTGAAGCATTTTTTTCAGAATAGATTTAGTGGTGACTATCTCAGTTTATCCGGGAATCTCTTAATTTCTTCATTTTTGAAGGACAGATGCAAGATTTTGTTGATCTTTTTTTTTTTTCCCTTTCCACTTTGAATACATTAGTCCTTTATTTTTTGGAGTCTAGGATTGCTGAAGTTGATAAGCTTATCTTTTTTTTTTTATCTTTTATTTAATGAATATAAATTTCCAAAGTACGACTTATGGATTACAGTGGCTTCCCCCCCATACCGTCCCTCCCACCCACAACCCTCCCCTTTCCCACTCCCTCTCCCCTTCCATTCACATCAAGATTCATTTTTGATTATCTTAATATACAGAAGATCAGCTTAGTATACATTAAGTAAGGATTTCAACAGTTTGCTCCCACACAGAAACATAAAGTGAAAAATAATAGATGATTTTATTTTAAATGATGATGAAATCAGATCAGACCTATTGTCATGTTTAATCCCAGTGAGAGTCAAGTTGGGAATTGATAATTTCTTTTCTTTTCTTCTTTTTTTTTTTTTTTACAGAAGATCAGTTTAGTATACATTAAGTAAAGATTTCAACCGTTTGCACTCCCATAGAAACACAAAGTGAAATATACTGTTTGAGTACTCGTTATAGCATTATAAGCTTATCTTCAAAAAGCCCCTGTGGGGTGGTGCTGTGGGTTGGTAGGCTAGGCCTTTGCCTGCAGCACCCACATCCCATATGGGTGCCAGTTTGTGTCTCCATTGCTCCTCTTCCGATCCAGCTCTCTGCTGTGGCCCAGGAGTGCAGTGGAATATGGCCCAAGTCCTTGGGCCCCTGCACCCATGTGGGAGACCTGGAAGAAAGAAGCTCCTGGTTCCTGGCTTCAGAATGGCTCAGCTTCAGCTGTTGTGGCCATTTGTGGGGGGGTGAACCGGTAGAAGGAAGACTTCTCTCTTTCTCTCTAACTGCCTCTGAAATAAATAAATAAAATTTTTAAAGATTTATTTAAAAGATTTATTTATTTATTTGAAAGTCAGAATTACACAGAGAGAGGAGAGGCAGAGAGAGAGAGAGATCTCCCGTCCTGGTTCACTCCCCAGATGAGCTGCACCGATCCGAAGCCAGGAGCCTGGAGCTTCTTCCAGGTCTCCCACACGAGTGCAGGGGCCCAAGCATTTGGGCCATCTTATACTGCTTTCCTAGGCCATAGCAGAAAGCTGGATTGGAATAGGAGCAGCCAGGACTAGAATCGGCGCCCATATGGGATGCTGGCACTTCAGGCCAGGGCATTAACCTGCTGTGTCACAGCGCTGGCCCCAAATAAATAAATCTTTAAAAAGAAAAAAATTAAATATTTTTTTCAAAAGCTCATGAAAAATTTATATTATGAAAAACTATGCATGAATTTCAAAAATTTTTGCACTAAAATAAATATTTTATTTTATTTGACAGGCAGAGTTAGTGAGAGAGAGAAACAGAGAGAACTTCCTTCCGTTTGTTCACTCCTCAAATGACCGCTACGGCTGGCGCTGCTCCGATCCGAAGCCAGGTGCTAGGTACTTCCTCCTGGTCTCCCATGTGGGTGCAGGAACCCAAGCACTTGGGCCATCCTCCACTGCCTTCCCGGGCCACAGCAGAGAGCTGGATTGGAAGAGGAGCAACCGGGACTAGAACCCGGTTCCCATATGGGATGTCAGCGCTGCAGAAGGAGGATTAACCAAGTGCGCCACAGCGCTGGCCTACACATATATTTTTAAAGATTTATTTATTTATTGTTAAGAGTGACAGAGAGGAAGAGACAGAGAAAAATCTCCTATACACTGGTCCAATCCCCAAATGACCACAGCAGCCTGGTCTGGGCCACGCTGAAGTCAGGAACTCAGAACTCAGTCCTGGTCACCCACATGGTGGCAGGGGCCCAAACTGCCTTTCCAGGTACATTAGCAGGAAGCTGGATCCAGAGCGACGCAGCCAGGGCTCCAACCTGCACTCTGAAGTGGGATTCCAGCATTTCAACTGGCAGCTTTGTTTGCTGTGCCGCAACCTCAGTCCCAAACTTACCTTTTAATTCTGTTTGTCTATTTTAGCATATGTGCTGCCGAAGCAAGCACCTGTTTGTCTATGAACCTTTTGAATGCTGGTCAGCTTGATGGCCCAAGTATCTGGTACTCTGTCACTCAAATGGGAGACCTGGATGGAGCTCCCAGCTCTGGGCTGCAGTGTGGCTGAGCCCGGACCATTGTGGCCATGGGGCGTGTACACCAGTGGATGGAAGCTTTTTCTCTTCTTTGTCTTTCTCCCTCACTCTGCCTTTCAAATAAATACATCTTTTTAAATTTTTTTTTTTAAAAATTTGCACCAAGTGAACTCACCTTTTAACATTTTCCATGAACTTTTTGAAGTCTCCTCTTGTGTGGGTATTTATATTCTGAATTTGCACAGCATTTTCTACTTAAGTTTACTTTTGTTTTTACTTCTCTGCTTTTTATAACATTTTTTCATTTTTATGCTGAGAATTTTGATTTCTCACAATATAACTTAATTTTAGTTCATTTTTATAAAATAGCTCTCAAACAGAAAAGTAATTATGTGGAGAGCTTAGCAAATTATTACAAAGTAAACACCTGGAAAATGACTCACAGGTCAAGAAACAACCTTGCCAGCAGCACCAACGCCCCTCCTATGCATTCAGTTTCTCCCCAAATGCTCACAAGAACCAGGACTGAGCCAGGTGGAAGCTGGCAGCCAGGAACTCGGTTTGGATCTGCCACGCGGATGGCAGGGACCCAAGTACTTGAGCCGGGGGCTGGTGTTGTGGTGTGACTGAGCTGCTACCTGGGATGCCAGCTTCCCACACCAGAGTACCAGCCTGAGTCCCAGATGCTTTGCTTCTGATCAACCTTCTTGCTTGGGAAGGCAGGAGGACACGGGCCAAGTATTTTGGCCCCTGCCACTCACATGGGAGACCAGGATGGAGTTCTCTACTTCTGGCTTTGGCCTGCCCTGGACCTGACTCCTGTGGACATTTGAGAAGGGAAACAGTGGATGGAAGATCTCTCTCTCCATCATCTGCTTTTTAAAATAAATATGACATAAAAAGCACTCTAGCCATGACCTTTGCCCCCTGGGGCGAGCATTAGCAGGAAATTGGAATCATAAGCACAGATGGGATTTGAACCAAGGCACTCTGATAGGGGATGCAGAAGCCCCAGGCAGTCTTAACCACTTTGCTAAAGGACTGCCCCTGAATACTGTCTTTTTAATGTTTTGGCTTTTATATTTGAATGAATTGCTCTTTTCTGCACTGTACCCATGGAGGAGAGGATGTGAAATGGAAGAGTAGGGGCTGGTGTTGTGGTGTAGCAGGAAAAGCGACCACCTGCACGCCATGTGGGCACCGGTTCGAGTTCCAGCTGCTCTGCTTCATCCAGCTCCTGGCTAATGCGCCTGGGAAAGCAGTAGAAGATAGGCCAAGGGCTTGGGCCCCTGCACCCACATGGGAAACCCAGAAGAAGCTCCTGGCTCCTGGCTCCGGCCTGGCCCAGCCCCAGCCATTGCAACCATTTGGGGAGTGAGCCAATGGTCGGAAGATCTGTCTCTGTCTGTCTCTTCCTCTCTCTGTGTAACCCTACTTTCAAACAAACAATGAATCTTAAACAAAACCAAACAAACAAAAACAGCAGTGGGGGAGTAGGCCTCCAATTTCTCAACTCAAGAGCTCCCTCTTGTCTTCCTATAGTAATGGACAGCCTTTAAAAATAGGATTCTTTGGGGCCAGTGCTGTGGTGTAGTAGGCTAAGCATTCGCCTGTGGCACTGGCATCCCATATGGGTGCCAGGTCGTGTCCCGGCTGCTCCTCTTCCAATCCGGCTCTCTGCCATGGCCTGGGAAAGCAGTGGAAGATGGCCCAAGTCCTTGGGCCCCTGCACCCATGTGGGAAACCCAGAAAAAGCTCCTGGCTTTGGATAGGTGCAGCTCCAGCCATTGTGGTCATTTGGGGAGTGAACCAGCGGATGGACCTTTCTCTCTGTGTCTTCCTCTGTCTGTAACTCTGCCTCTTAAATAAATAAATAAAATCTTAAAAAAAATTAGGATTCTTTGATCTATCCTATTTCAAGAGCTTCTCCCACCAATGCCTTCTTTGCTACTCTTCATACCAATCAGTCATAGTTTGTAGTCCGTGCATTTTCTCAGTGTTTTTCTAAAGATGTGGGGTAGGGAGTATTTTGCTGATTCTTTTTGTGTCTTTGTATGAAATGAAAACCAAAAACATGCAAAGGAGGAAAGGTGGCACAGTCGTGTGTAAGCATCCACTGTGCTCCTGTGAGCCCAGCCAGGAGCCAGAGAGCAGTCTCCAGGGAGGAAGCTCCAGGCCAGAGATGTTGGCTGTAGACTGGGGTGGAGCGCTATGTGGAGTTGAAAGCCGAGGTGGCGTGGGTTTCACTGGATTATCTCTCTCTCTCTCCCTTTCTCCCCAAGGACACTGAGCAGTCAATGCACATGTTGGACATATTTCCATCTTCCGGAAGCAGTGGAGTGAATGAACCTTGTAGCTATGGCCTGCCCAGCACTCAACACTTCACTCAGGGCACAGACATGTTGGGGGCCCCCTTACTGCCTGCTGAGGCACCCATGCTGGGTGAGGGAGGAGTGGGGTCGCAGTTTGGCATGTCCCTGCAGGAGCATGGCATGAGCTACAGCTCCCAGGCCACTTTGCCTTCTCCACAGATGATTTACAACCAGGGGGTGCTCCCCCCTCAGCCAGGCATGATGATGCCTCAGATGATGCCCTTAGAGCCCAGGATTCCAGAGGTAAACATGCCCTCCAGTGGGAGTCTAGGGCTGCCCCCTAGCGGACTGCCAGTGTCTGTGTCCAAAGGGATCCCAGAGATGTCCCACAACAGGGCCCCGATGATGCCTTCCTCTGACCCCCTAGAGGGACCTTCTAACTGCGCCTCTTTAGCACCTAAAATGTTGCAGACCCCAACCATACCTTCCACCGAGGCTCTGTCTGCGCTCCCCTCTCTGGCTCAAGTGTTGCCCCCCAGGGAGCCGCACAACCTCAGGATACCCGCAGCTGGGTCCCCATTATGGCTGCCTTTAGAATCTCAGGGATCCTTTGTGAGCCAACCAGCCCCCCAGGAAGACTTCTTCCTACTTGAGCAGCCTACACCTGCAGCACAGGGAGTGGACAACTCCTGGGCCCAAGAAAGGGAGCCCAGCAGGAGGTCCCCGGTTTCAAGGCCTTACATCTGCCAGTACGAGAACTGTGGAAAAGCTTACACCAAGCGGTCACACCTCGTGAGTCATGAGCGCAAGCACACAGGTGAATGCAGTGAGGGGGTGGGGCAGGGTGGAGGAGTCTGGGCTTTAGGTTTCTGTAATGGTTTGGGATTATCCCCCCTACCCCCATCTATTTTAAGATTTGTTGGACAGGGAGAATGAAGAGAGGGGGAGAGGTTTTTAGCCACTGGCTGACTCCCCAAATGGCCATAACAGCTGGGGCTGGGCCAGGCTGAAACCAGGAGCCCAGAACTCCACCTGGGTCTCCCATGTGGGAGTCCTTGTGCCATCCCCTGCTGCCTTCCCAAGGGCACTAGCAGAGAGCTAGACAGGAGGTGGAGCAGCTGGGACTTGAACCAGGGCCCAAATATGGGATGCCGGCACCAGCATTGCAAGCACTGGTTTAACCTGCTGGGCCTCGTAGCCCCAGCTCTAGCCCTTCACCTTTTAAGCCTGGCACCAAGCGATGTAGGCCCACTGACTTGTGTGCCTAATGACCGCCAAGATGATGGGGAGGTTACTGCTGCTGTGTTGCCCCCTCACTGCGTTCCTGTATCTTCCCTTCTGATTCCCCACCCTTCTCTGCCTCGTGTAGTTGGACCCCTTCCTTCCCACCCGCTGGTCTGTTCTTAATTTCATCTCTCTTGCCACCCCCTAGGTGACAGGCTCTATAAATGCCAGTGGGAAGGCTGTAACTGGTCTTTCTTCCGATCTGACGAGCTCACACGACACTCACGGATACACACCAGATACCGACCACACAGATGTGAGCAGTGCGGCCGACAGTTCATGAGGTCTGACCATCTCAGACAACACCAAAGGATTCATCAGCGGATGCCAGGATCTCCAGACCCGCAGGCTGAGGGCGAACAGATGGATGATACTCTTCTTCCTGGTCTTTAGGTCAACGTCCTCTTCTGTACGCAAATCCTGCCTACCCCTGCCCAGCTCATGTCCTTGGTAGGTGTAGGCTTGGATGATGACAGAGAAGATTATAAGGCTATTTTAAAGTCCAAATGCAGCTCTGGACTCAGTCAGGGTCCCCTCAAAAACCTCCACAACGATTTCGATGCCCTCACCTCTTTGGAGCCACCTGCTTCTGCCAATGTGAGCCAGATGGAACGTGGAGCACAGCAGAGACTGGAGCTCATTGAAAGGTTCATCATCTCATGTCACTCCCCAGCTTGAAAGCCCTCAGCGACTGTTTCGCCTGCTGAACAAAACCTGACTTCTTTTTCCTGATCGCTCAGTTTCCAGAGCCAGACCATGTTGAAGCCCTGAGCGTAGCACTTCCTAGTCCTGTGCCTTTGGGAAAGATCTTAGATCACTATGCTTTATTTCCTGTTCTGGAAAATGAGAAACCCAACAGTGGACTGTGTTGGACCTGTCATATGGACAGCGTCAGATTCTCTCTGGCACTCACCTGCCACACGTCTAGAGTTTTTGTGTTGTCACCATTTCAGACACGGATGGCGTGCCCCACCGCAGGGCATGGAAGCAGAGTCCACTGAGCAACTGCTAGCAACGTGGGACTGCAGGGACGTTAACAGCCATGGGTGCAATTTGACTAAAGGGAATGGAAAGTAGCAGAGAGCCAGGCAGATCAGTTCTGCCTTCTTCCTGTCTTTCCACGCATTTCTGCAAGGCCTGGTAGCTCCAGAACAGTGCAGCCTCTGGGGAGACCTGAGGTAGCTGCTGGACATACCTGCTGTGCCTCTCAAGGTTGCCGAGCTGGGCGATGGAGCCCCTTGTGATACCTCCCATATTCCACTTCTACTTTCCCACTTCTGATGCACCTCCCAAATAAAACATAACTGATTTATCATAATCTTGATTTATCATCCGCATAATCTTTCTCAGATTCTCTCTGGCATTCACCAGCCACCAGTATTTCGTTCAGGCTTTGGGCTGTTTCTAGTTGACTTATGCGTGGCGGGGCAGAGGGACATTAAAGAGGAGCCGAGAAGGACCACTCCCTCTGTAGCTCCTCGTTCTCGCCCACCTGGCTCAGGTTCCTGGACTACCAAGTACCAGATGTTCAGGGGCCTAGCCTGCCCTGCTCTCTCCTCTCTCGGGTTGAAGGGATAATGCCTACCCTGACGACTCAGCTGGGTGGCATTGAACCTCATTTGTGGACTCAGCAGGTCATTTTACTGACCAGCAAGCTAATGGTGAGAAAGGAACTGGGCCGAGGTAGCAGGTGTCAGGGCTGGAATCTCATGCAGGCTGTGTCTGCCCCAGGGGTGAGTCTCTTCCCCAGGAGGGGGTGCTTTCTCTAGGTGTTGCCTGAGCCAGCTTGGCACTAACACTGCCGGGGATGGCACAGAGGTGAGGGAGGCCTGGCTTCTGTGTTCAGCGGCCCACCTCGGTCCAGGGGTCATAGGAGAGAGGGCCCCCTTCAGGAGAGTCAGAGGCTCTGAAGGAGGTGACTCTGGTGTCTAGTTAGAGTGTGCCGTTTAGTCATTCCTCAAACGTTGGAATACACGGAGCAGGGGAATGAAGAGGGGAGAGCATTCCAGGTCGAGAACCTTGGACCCAGCAGCGGGGAGCTCACGGGAGAGTCAGCCTGCAAGCGTCTGCAACACAAAGAGCATCAGGCCTTCAGGGACCTGCACCAAAGAACATGGAGACAAGGAGGTGCCTGAGTCGGACCTGGAAGGCTCCTGGAGTTAGCCATGTCCCCCACCTCCTGCACATAAACCCTTGGCAAAGGAAGACCTTTCTCTCTCTCTGTCTCACACTGTCCACTGTGCCTGTCATAAAAAAAAAAAAAAAAAAGACGGATGCAGTCACAGAGAATGAAGTTCTGCACTGTATCCTTGTAAGCCACACACTACCATGTTGACTAGTAAACTAAAGCCACCCAGAGAACTGCCAGGCTCCCGCCATCACCGGCCTGCCAAGCTCGCATGCAAGCTGCATCCCAGCCCAGGCGCCTTCATTCAAAGGTCTCCTTATTGGGCCCTCAGCTGAGAAACCTCCCAGGGGCCTCCACCAAGGCTTCCTTATCAACAGCCTTGGCCAAGGTACCTACCTCCTGCCATCAAACTCGCCTTTGCCACTCCTGTCATTCTCCCCTCTTCCTCCTCTCCGGCCTACCTTCCCTAGACAAGTAGGAATCCTCCTTCAGATAGGATTCTCCTGTCTAACTGTCACTCAGAACATTAGTGAGCCAGCCCCTCTTCTTTTTGCCTCTTGCTTTTACCATGGGGCTGCGAGTAAATACAATCTTTGCTTCCAGGTTGGCTCGCTGTCCTCACTGGCCATGGCAACACCTAACTCTTGCAGACACTCATTTTGAAAACACATGTAACTTACACATATTTCTGTTTCAAAAGTTATTTATTTAAAGGGCAGAGTGACATTGTGTTTTCAGGAATTCTCTGAGACGCAGAAGCAGGACATCTCCAGGACCTCCCAGCTCTGCTTTGGTTCGGGTCTGACGTAGGGGACGCCATTTCCCCCTTGTGGTCCATCTTCTTCTCCAAAAGCATTGTCGACCACCCAATCTCAAGTGTGGTTTTGACTGTCCCTCGACGCCAGGATGGACCTGTTCTGGTTGATCTGGGAATGGTTGGAAACTGAGCTGATGTCAAGTCTTTGCCCATGTTTGAGTGACAAGGTCCAGAAAAGTGGCTCGCAGAACCCAGGCTGCCTGGAGTTCGTTAAAATCACTTGGGCCTGTTCCATGGGCATTGGCTATCCTCTCTCAGAGGTGGACCAGCATTATCCAGTTAGGCGTTGTACCTCAGAGACTTTCAAGGATCAGGTACAATGTTCAGAAATGACCATGCTAAGTAAAAGTAATAGTCAAATGATAACTTCAGTTTGTAAAATGGTTTAAAATCATGAACCCAAGCCTGAAGGGGAACCAGCTAAATAAATCAAAGAACTGGGTGAGACTTACTGTAGCCACTCAGCCTACTCTCAGCTCCCCCAGAATTTACATGAGTCTAGCCATCTTGTCTGCCTACTAGAGAATTAAGACTAATTCTGTTACCTAAGACTACTTCAGCAAAGAAATTGAGTGAGTGTGGTTGAGTGGCAACAGCCATTGAAGTTGAATCCGTACGTGCATTTAATGTAAATTTCTAGTCATATTTGCATCAGTGACAAACTAGAACTCAGATGTCCAAGCAAATCTTGTTTGGCTCTTGGATCTAAGAGGGAGCTCGTGAAATGATTAGCCTGATTATGTCTTATAACACAGTCCTCTTCCTAGCTAGAGAGTGGTAGCCACATATTAGGGGAAACCAGAAGTCAGGATCCAGTCCAACATCAAGAGAGAGAATAACTCTAAAACAACAGACAGGGTTACACTCTACCAGCAGACAGACATCGTTTTTCTCTAAACCACTTTTCTACAGTTTCCCCTAGTTTTACAAAAGAGAATAAGAGGTAATTTGTTTATAAACTAAATTTAGTTTCAACAGACAAATCTGATTATTTACACAAGTGCTTCAAAAATAGCAATTAACTACATAGGAATCTCGAATTAAAAATCTGTTGAATGGCATGGGCCTTGGGCTGAGCAGTTAAGATGCAAGTTGGGATATTCCCATCCCCTAGCAGAGTGCCTGGGCTTGAGTTCTGACTGCACCTTCAGTCCTGGCTTCCTGCTGGTGCACACCTGGGAGGCAGCAGGTGATGGCTCGAGCACTTGGGTCCCTGCCAGCCCAGGTAGCAGACCCAGGGCGAGTTTCCAGGTCCGGGCTGCAGCTCAGCCCAATCCAGGCTATCACAGGCATTCAGAGGGAGAATCAGTGGACAGAACTCCCACTGTCTGCCTTCTACATAAAGAAAAATGAAAATAAACTTCTTTGGAGGCTGGGAAGCCAAACCCAGGCAGACTTCAGCCTTCCTCTGCTCTCATCCCATGTCCGTGCTCAAAACCTCAGTGACATAACCAATGTGGGTTGTTTTCTTTCTTTTTTTTAATTTAAAACCTTTAACAAGAGCTGATTGAAGTTCACTGTTTCAAAAATCAAGTTGCAAACTTTTACTGCAAATATAAAAATGAAGTTCTTAAACATCTCAACTTGATCAGATAGGAAACAATTTAAAACTCTTGAAAGGTGTACTGAGAAAAACTAGGCTTTTCTTCTTAAACACATTTGTTATTACCAAAAAGGGACATCTTTAGGAAAAGATAATAAAAATCCCAAGCTGCCTTGACAATGTGCTCCAGTAATCAGGAAGGTGCAGCTCCAATTGTCTGTCCACTGCTGGGGTGGGAACAGCCACTGGTGTTGGAGTCTCTGGCTCCACTTTCATTCCTGCCCCACCTCTGGACATCGGCGGGAACCGTGGCGGGAGGCGGCCTTGGGTCAGCTGCTGGTGCTCCTCCGTCCTCTCCAGGCTGTCTTCGGTGAGGAGTGAGTCCTGCTCCGCAGCCTGTGCCCATGGTCTCCCTGCTCTGCCTTGTCCCACCACCTGCCCGCCAGCACCTTCCATCACTTCTGCACGGGAGGGTGGGAACGCCCTGGGCCACGGCCTAGGGGCTGCACTTGCAGAGGGTAGCGGGGACCAGGTCCTTCCTTCTTTTCCCCACTCCCACTCTTCTGGGATTCTGCCACTCACAGCATGGACCCCTAAGCTTGGACCTTGTGTGCAACAGTGCGGGCCCCACACCAAAGGCCGCATCCACAAGGGTTCTCCCCACGGTGCAGGCCGCATCTACAAGGGTTCTCCCCAGTAGGAGCATGGGCAGTTTCTACAAAAGTTCTCCCCAAGGTGGGGACTGTGTCCAAAAGGGTTCTTCCCAAGGCGGGGCCTGTGTCCACAGGGTTCTCACCCACGGCGTGAGCCGTGTTCACAAGAATTCTCCCCGTGGCGGGGGATGTGTCCACAAGGGTTCTCCACAAGGTGGGGGCCGTGTCCACAAGGGTTCTCCCCAAGGGGCGACCGCATCTACAAGGGTTCCTGGCCGCAGCACGTTGGCCGCCTTGCCCTGGAGCTGCACCAGGGTCTGCACCCTTTGCTGCCCACCCCAGTGTCGCCCCACACTGCCGAGACCCTCCCTGGGTAATTCTCCTTTACGCAGGCTGGGTACAAACACGCTTCCTCCGTGCTCTTCCCCTGGATGAACCAGAGCCTTTCGCACATGGAACCAGTTCACTGGGTCCACCGCCCTGCGCGCTTGGTTTCAGGGGCGCCGTGCAGATGGATGCGGGTCTCGGCCTCGCTGCTGGCGGCTGCGGCTCCTCCTGGGCGTGAGGGTGGCGCTGCTCGGGTGCTCACGGCTCTCTGGGGTCCGCTCTCCGCTGCTGCTAACTCGCTGTTTGGAATTATGCACTAGTAAAAAGAGAGACGATCCTTATTGAACTTAGGCAAGTAAGTATATTGTCACAAAATAAGAATAGTCACAGTTTCAAATTTTGGCGGGACCAGACAGGGAAAAATAAAAATGTTGCCATTCTTCGCACAAGAATATTTATCGAATCGGTACAAGCTATAGATAGTTCAAGCGAAAAACTTTCCTTAAATTTAGAACACAGAACATCCTTAGAAAACCCACATCCTTGGGTATCTGTACCCACATGGGAGACCCAAAAGCTCCTGGCTCCTGACTTCAGCCTGCCCTAGTCCCAGCCCAGGGCAGCCATTTGGGGAGTAAACCAGCAAACAGACGATTGCCTGCTGTCTCTGCTTCTCTTTTTGTAACTCTGCCTTTCAAGTATATAACATCTTTTTTTAAAAGATAAGTGTTAAAAAAAAGATTTTCATAGAAGCAACTTACATGGAATTACAGAGTTCTTGTAAGAGCTCTTCTAGGCGTAAGGACCTTCAGGAGTCACGGCTCTGCTCTCAGACACGGAAGCACGAGGT